GAGGAATGGATTGAAAAACTGTGGCACATATACTCTATGGAATACTACTCAGCCATAAAAACCAACAAAACCCTGGCTTTTGACAGAAAGTGGAAGAATATGGAAGATTTACTGCTGAGTGAGGCAAGCCAGGCTATGAAGGAGAGACATTGTATGTCCCCACTTAACATATACCGAATGTCTGCACTCTATGACTGAAACGGATTGACTAACGGTTGTATAAACACAAGAGATGGGTGTGAATGTCAGATGAGGTGTATGTGGAGGAGTGGGGCCTAATGAAGGCCATTTGGAGAAGGGATATGGAGATAGAGCATTGACGGGATGGGGAAGTGTGGTGTTATCAGTTGAAGATATTTTGATCAACGGGACTGGGGAAAAATGTTCACATATTGAAATGCTCATATTGTAAGCTAAACAATGTGATTGAATGTATATACAAAAATAAATTAATTTTTTAAAAAAAGTTATTTGATAATGATGTAGATAATAATGTCTTCGTCTTTACTGATATGCATGGTAATCATGCTGGAAAAAGAAATGTAATACACTGTAAAGTTATATGTGATTAAATGTAATATAGAAATTTTAAAAAATACCATTAAGTTTAACATTTGAAATACTTCTTCCTTCATATCTAATGACAAAAGTACCTACTTCACACTGATAGTGCAATCTGAAAAGCTGCCGCTGATAAGCCATTCTCTCCTTTTCAGTTTCTCCATAGTCTGCAGTGACTTTGCCAGTTGAGCCCTATTGAGCAAATAAAATATGCAGGTCTTATTTTCCTTTAAGAATAAAAAGCACTAATATTTTAGTTATTTAAAGGGAACTTAAAGTTGCCATCTAACTCCTCATGATGTCTCCACTCCAATATAACTTCTCTGATTTGTTTAGCGAAACTCAGCTCCCCCTAATGATAGCACTCACTGAACTTAGAATAGTTACTCTGCTACACTACTAGATAATACTATCACGCCCCAGAGGAGATGGCCATGCCACAGTCACCTCTCCTCCATTCTCCTCTCAGGAGTTTGGACACTCAAGCACACACACATGGAGTTTTAAGTCGCTGGGTCCAGGAGTTGAATAGCAGTCAACTATGTGGGAGTCCAGCAACGTAACCATTTGCCATTTGCTGGTCCCATTTCCTAAGGTTTTCTTTATAATGCTTTTATTGTCATTAGAACAGTCAACATTCCCATCTTAGAAGAGATAAAACAAGTAATTTGTCCAAGGTCACACAATTAGTTAAGTAAGCAAAAGAGCCTGGATTGTAACTCAGGTGGTTTTTACTGCCTGAGCACTTAATCGGTGCATGATATATCATCGTTGTTGAACGTTCTCAATTCCTCCACTAGACTGTAAACACTATAAGCACAGGGACTTTGGAATAGCTCTTGACACAATGTAGATGCTAAATGGTTTTGAATAAATTAATGAATATATTTTTGAAAGGTGTGTAGTAACATTTTGGTTCTATTTTCAGGTTTTCATAGTTCTTATGACTACTGAATGAAAAGCAGACGCTCCATATTTAAACTTTAGTATGACATCCAATGATAAGAATATGTCATTTGAGTTAAAATATACATATTCTATAACAATACAATTGGAAAGGAGACAAACAGGTATGGACAATTACATGAATGTTGTATTCTCAGCCAGGGAATTATCTGTACTAACTTTACCCTGGACAATGAATATTCCTACATAATATGTACCATTATATTTAATGTACAGAGCAGGTTATATTCATTAAATTCTCATGAGTGGGCAAAGCAAGTATTTTTAAAAAGACTCTTATTTCTTATGTCTAATTAAGTGCTCTGTTGTGCACTTAAATTACACTCAAATGCCTCTTCACATAAAAGTACATGATTCCAAGCAGTGACTAATACCAAGAAAGAAATCAGAAAAAATTATTGTACCTTAATGTGTTTTGTTTCATGATTAACAACCAGATGTAATTTTAAAAGTGAAAGTAGTTTTGTTTTATAAAACTGTCTTTCACAATACTTAATCCAGGGAAATTATGGCAGTATTTTTTTTCTTTCCTAATAGTATTCATCAACCTTTGCAAAGAATGCATTTGTAATAAACTCTGCCCAATACAATAGATAAAGCCAGAAAACTGTCAGGACTAAAGTGAAATTTTCTAATTCCTAAGGTTCTTTCTTTTTTCTTCACCCATTCCCTTTAATATTGTCTTTCATGATTTTTCCTTCTTTTCACAAACATGGCACAAATCACTGGACTTTTCAAAAAGTTACACTGCTCTAAAAGTGATAGAGAAAATAAGGTAATAACTGTTCCTGCAAAAAGGAAAGGAGGGCTATGCCTAATCATGCTTACCTGCTCTACCATGTCCAGAATATGCAATTCATCTAGGCTATAGAACTTGTCTTCATTTGCAGAATCTTCTTGAACATCACTTGTATCATCTTTTATAAATCTACTGACTGGGTGTAGATTTATTTGTTCTTTCTTCAGCTGGTCTTCTTTTTCTACTGTACATGGGCTGCAGTGGTAACAATTAATGTGATCCTGTATACTTATATAGTGCTTTCCGTCTAAGCTATTATTTCCCAAATTAGTACTCTACTGGTCTTATGAGATGCTCAGCAATAAAAGGATTCATGGTCAAAGAAAGTCTGCTCATATTGTGTCTTTCTCTTAAAGATACATAATGAATAGTTGATATGACAACCAAAGGTACTTATTTAATTCTGTTCTTCCTAGTGTTGTCAAGAATTATAAGACCTCAAGCGTTAATTTTTCAAGTTATAACTATTAAATAAGTTACATTAAGAAGACACTGTGAGAAATATTGGCAAATGTTTCCATATCTGCTATACCACTTACTGTCACAACACTTCCTCGCTCCCCCACAATATTCTTGGCAGGTAGATTGGTTTAATGAGCTTAAGGTTTTAGTCCAATGTATATTTAAATAGAAGGTCACAAATAGTAACATAATGTATTGTAAAATGGAGGTTTCTTTTTAAAAAACTGTAGTGATAATATGGATTTCAATAACTAAATCACTAACAGGGACCACTGAAATATTCTATACATACAATGGCAATTTAACAATATTTATACTAGCAGTGAAGGTACTTAATGAGAATAGGACAGTGTGGAATGGGGTAAGTGAAGAGAAGAGGATAGAGAAAGATAGCAAGTGAACAATAGAGAGGCAGGACGTTAGTGAGAAACAGATAGGGCTTATTAACTCTTGATGATGACATGTATAGTATTCTCAACTGGATTGGTCTGAGAAGTATTTCATGATGGGCAAAGTATTTTTACAAGCAAAATGAGAAATAGCAATTGACTATTTTAAAAAATAATTAGAATAATAAAAATAATGATTGGGGAAAACATAGAAAAGATATTGAATGTTGAAGTGGGGAGATTAATGTCTCTGTACTGACTGACATGCATGGCATTCCCTTTTGAAAAAACTATGTAATACACTGTAAAGTTATATGTAATCCAATGTAATAGAAAGAAGATTATGATGATGATAATAAAAAAATAAAATTTAAAAAAAACAACAATATTTATACTTAGGTTTAAATTTTCAGTGCATGCTACTCTCCTTTTAGCTGGCTATTACTTATTAGAATGGAATGAAATTCCATTCTAATCTTGCTTAATGGTAATAAAAAATAGTACTTTTATTTATAACATGTTATAAATGATTCTTAGTGAATAGAAAACTCTAGGATATATACTTTTTTTAGGACACCGAGATCTTGAAAAAAAAAAGGGGGGCATCCAATTTTTGCAGAAAATTTCATAAAACACTACATAAAGTCATCAAAGTCATCAGGTATCACTAAGGTTTTCTAGAGTAACCAAAACATTTTGCCAAGGTCAATGAAATCAACTGCTTGGTTCCCAAACCCAGTGAATTTTCTATGCTCCTTAAGAGTTTTTTTTTTAAATGAAATGTTTCCAGGCATCCCTACAACTGTAAATCATTTATGAGTTTCTATTTTTGAATTTGTACTTGTATAGATAAATTTATATTTTTGTATTTGATTTTTGAAAAGCTCCCAAAGATTATTCCTAAATTTTTAAGTACAATAACATTATCAAAAAAATATAGGAACATGTTTATATTTCTGAGATGTAAACTGATGCATGAAGAGGTAAGATTACAATTATATATGGGATTTAAAGCACTTTAACACAGAACAAAATGTCAAAGGGATATAAAATAAATGTGAAAAAAGAAAACTGTGGAATTGGGATGACAGATGCATACACTATTGTACTATAGACTATTCTTTTTATTTTGTGTTTATTTGAAAATTGCCATTTAAAAACAAAGCTCCCCAGGTGATTTGATCATAATCGATTTTGATCTACAGTGTTAAAATGATTGAGGATACTATTTCATCTATACTATTTTTATGAAATTGTAACAATGCCTGAAAAAAAAATAAACCTATTGTTCCAGTGGCTTAACTTGCTGCCAAAGGAACAACACCTTGAATGATGAACTACTTTACATACAATCTGGATTATATCCATTAACAGTGAGAAAATATCAACCACAAGTGACAGTTTTAACATTAACAAAGTATGTTCTTGTTGCCATTTAAAGTTATTTTAATTTATGTTCTCAGAGTATTTTCCTAAAGTTACTAAAATGCAGTTAAACTTTCTGGTGAGAATAAGGATCTCTCATTAGACCGTCTCCCCTCTTTTGCTTACTACATAGTCAGCAACCGTATGGTTGCACAATATATCTCACAGTGGTCTTTGACATTAAAATGTTTTCATTAAAGATTCAAAGTTTTCTGTCACTAACTGGGATTAAAAAAAAAAAAAGCAAGAACAAAAACATTTCAGGTTATACAAAAAGACAACACACCAAACTAAATTCTTATAAAGGAGTCAGTAGAACATAATAATGATTTGACCATTAAAGTCAAGTCTTACTTTGTCTAGATTTGACTAACAGAATGTACACTGTATTTTTAAAAATTTTATGCTCAACTCAAGTTAGTCCTTGAATGAAGCAGTTAGCATCAGCTGACTCCTTAGGAGCCTTATAGAAAAACGTTGAGGGATTCTATTTTTCCAAATCAAATGATAATTTAACTTGTTTTTTTCTGTAATAAAGCATAAACATTAAGATGTGGAATTCTCCTTTCTTCCTATAGTGAGAACACTTCTTAAAAGAAGGCTGTGCCATATTGGCCAAGCACATCTTTAAAATGTTAGGGAAAAAAAATTACTTACACTTCCTCTTCTTTTGATTCTTTATTCTGAAAAACAGAAAAAAATAAGCACTCCATATCAGCTATGTCAATATAGCATAGTCATATATAGATGACTATCCTAGATGAATAGTCACATATACAGATCAGTGTTTCTCAGACTTTTCGATCACAACCAAAGTAAAAAATTTTATATTATGATGCTATCTTCACTTACATATATATCTTTACATGTACATATAAAACAAAAATAAGTACCATGAAATAAATTTTATCCATATTATATGTGATAAAGTCTGGTAATTTTATTAATATTTATTCTATTTCTTTTAAAAAATGGTGATTGTGACCCAATAAGTTGATTTTATGATTTGCTACTGAGTCATGAAACATAACTTGAAAATCACTAATTCAGATAGGTGAAGTGAGGATCGGGGCTGAGTCTGTACCCACCGGTATACCCTAAAACAGGGTATACATAATTTTCACTACACTAATTATAAGTCTTGAAACCTACATGTAAGAAGAAATCAGACTAATTAATCATAATTAGAAGGAAATATTTAAAAGCCCTAAATTTTATCTTCACTAAAAGAAAAAAGGAACATTCCAAATATAAAGGGAATGTCTATATTAACATATATTGAATACTTAACATATATTAAATTAAGAGTATTACAGTATTAATTTCTATCATCTCTTGCTTACAAAAAAGTTCAGGGTTTCCTTCTCCACAGATACAATGCTGTATGAACAAATCTGTTTTCCTTGCCTGTATATTAAGTGAATTTTCATGTTTCAGTGTCTTTTTTTAAGAATTATTTAATTTTATTTATTCATTCATTCACTTTAATTTGACTAGAGAGAGACAGAGATAGAGAAAATGAGAAAGCAAGCTGCCAGGTCTGGAACTCGAACCATGGTTACCCATGTGGAAATGTCCAGTGGCTTAACCACCATGCCACCTGCTGGCTCCAGTACAATTCTCTCTTATATGAATATGCATCTCCACAACTTCCCTTCTGAGAGGCCATCCAATTTGAAGATCTGAATTTACTTCCTATCACATTTTTTTTCCCCAAAAGCTTCATCAAAGAAACCCTTCTATTCATGGCCTACCCTAACACTTGGTAGGGATAAGATAATCTAATTAATCTGCAAAAGAATTGTTTACAATTTGGATATATTAAAAGCTAAAAACCTAACTGAAGAAAGAGAACATATAAAGTAGCTACAAATTCTCTATGCATATTAATTAGAAGTTACCTGTACTAAATCTATTTGCTATACACATTTTCTATTATCTTCATATTCTCCTAGAAGAGTCTCTCATAGGTACTTTAGGACTACTGTTAGGTAGACATATTACAAAACAAATAATTACTAGAGCATATAATTTCATACATATTTTATCATAACTCTGTATAAAAACTATTTTTGGACAAGCAGATAACATGATGGTTACACATTGCTATACTCCCATGTAGTCGACTACAGTTCAAGTCCCAGACACAGTGGCTTAAAAAATTCATGCCAGGTACATGTGTGTGCCCAAGATCATGAGAGGAGAATGGAACAGAAGGGACTGCAACATGGCCAGCCCCCCTAGGGAGTGATTTCTCCCTTTCTGTCTCTCTGTCCCTTGGATGAGTGCATGCATCCTATAGCAAAAAACTCTTAGGGGAAAAACAACAACAACAACAACAAAAAGGTAATTTTAATGTACTTGATTTTTTTCCCCCGGAAAACTACTGATAAGAGAATTTCATTGACTTTGCTTTTTATAACTGGCTGCCTGCACAACAAATAGACAAATCTTTGCACCCACAGTAACTGAGTATATAAAAAGGACTAGAGATGCTCCTCAACTTATAATGGAATTTCACCCCATCGACCTATCCTAAATTTATAATAGCCTAAGTTAAAAATGTACTTAAAATCCTGATAGACATATTATAATGTTGAAAAGTAATTAAGTCAAACCATCTTAAGTCAGGGACAGTGTATATCCTACATATCTATGTAAAATAGTCACATGCATAAATTTTAGCATTTTTTTGTCCTGTACTTTACAATTTAGTTAACAGATTATTAGATACAAGATATTAGATACAAGATATAAGATGTCCACATTTTGTATCAATAAAATTACCTTTTCTCTCAGCCTAGTCTTGTATCATAGTACTTAAGTCCTTTGTGCAGAGAGCTGGATCCCACATGGCCAACCAGTTTGATTCTGGCCCAGGTGGCTTGAAAAACATGCAAGGTGTATGCATGTATGTCCCCAAAATCTTGATGGGATGGAGCAATGGAAGAAAGAAATTATAGTATGACAACACCCCACTAAAGAGTACTTCCCTTTTTTCCTGTCCCTCTCTCTCCCTCTCCCTCCTTCTTTTGTCCTCCCTCCCTCTCTCTCTCTCTCTGGTAAGAATAATGAGCCCTCCAGCAATAAAAAATACAAAATTTTCTTTTCAAAAGTATTTCAACTTCTTTTAGTAAGACAGACTGAAAAAACATCGCAGGATGTTAAAGAAACAAGAAGTTCCTAGATATTTGCTGACCTTAAATAAAATTTTTTTAATATTACTATTTCCCAAATTTTCAGTGACGTCAACATTTATTTCCAATTGTGTTGGTTCCCTCTTTAATTTTAATTTAATATAGGAGTGGGGCTTCCCACTTAACTAAAATCAAGAATGTGGATGCTACTATATTTTCATTTTTTAGAAGTAAAGAGACATATACACTTGGAACTTAGCTCTGTAAGTTTCACAGCTGCAGATTGTGGATTTACTTGGTTAGCATTTTGTTCACTAAAATGTTGGCAAAATAAATGGTTATGGCAAGAAAGAAAATGGAAGGAAGTACTAAGAAAAGAATTATCTTAAAGAACTATGTGAACACCATAATAAATATAAGCTTTAAATACAGCACATGCAACAAACTGAAAGCCCAGAGTGAGTTCTTCTAATTCAAATTCTAGTAAGAGCTTATACTTCTTAGAGATTTTTAACAAATCTGTTGAAGATTCACTGAGTACTGAAGCCCCATCATTAGACCTGTACTTCCTGGTCTAATAATTTGGCAAAAATAAACTAACAAACTAGGCTGTGTTTGATTAGAACTGTCTAAAAATTAAAAAACCAAATCAAACAAAAAAACTTTCATGTCTTTAAGAAATAAGCCCTAATTTTCTTTTTCTTTCTTTCTTTTCTTTTGGAGAAGTTTTTGCTATAGGGCACGTGCGCTCGCCAGAAAGACAGAGAAAGAAAGTGAGAAATCACTCCCTAGGGGGGTTGGCCATGCCACAATCCCTTCTCCTCCATTCTCTTCTCAGGATCTTGGGCACGCACACACACGTGCCCAGTGAATTATAGTATGACAACACCCCACTAAAGAGTACTTCCCTTTTTTCCTGTCCCTCTCTCTCCCTCTCCCTCCTTCTTTTGTCCTCCCTCCCTCTCTCTCTCTCTCTGGTAAGAATAATGAGCCCTCCAGCAATAAAAAATACAAAATTTTCTTTTCAAAAGTATTTCAACTTCTTTTAGTAAGACAGACTGAAAAAACATCGCAGGATGTTAAAGAAACAAGAAGTTCCTAGATATTTGCTGACCTTAAATAAAATTTTTTTAATATTACTATTTCCCAAATTTTCAGTGACGTCAACATTTATTTCCAATTGTGTTGGTTCCCTCTTTAATTTTAATTTAATATAGGAGTGGGGCTTCCCACTTAACTAAAATCAAGAATGTGGATGCTACTATATTTTCATTTTTTAGAAGTAAAGAGACATATACACTTGGAACTTAGCTCTGTAAGTTTCACAGCTGCAGATTGTGGATTTACTTGGTTAGCATTTTGTTCACTAAAATGTTGGCAAAATAAATGGTTATGGCAAGAAAGAAAATGGAAGGAAGTACTAAGAAAAGAATTATCTTAAAGAACTATGTGAACACCATAATAAATATAAGCTTTAAATACAGCACATGCAACAAACTGAAAGCCCAGAGTGAGTTCTTCTAATTCAAATTCTAGTAAGAGCTTATACTTCTTAGAGATTTTTAACAAATCTGTTGAAGATTCACTGAGTACTGAAGCCCCATCATTAGACCTGTACTTCCTGGTCTAATAATTTGGCAAAAATAAACTAACAAACTAGGCTGTGTTTGATTAGAACTGTCTAAAAATTAAAAAACCAAATCAAACAAAAAAACTTTCATGTCTTTAAGAAATAAGCCCTAATTTTCTTTTTCTTTCTTTCTTTTCTTTTGGAGAAGTTTTTGCTATAGGGCACGTGCGCTCGCCAGAAAGACAGAGAAAGAAAGTGAGAAATCACTCCCTAGGGGGGTTGGCCATGCCACAATCCCTTCTCCTCCATTCTCTTCTCGGGATCTTGGGCACGCACACACACGTGCCCAGTGTGAGTTTAAGCCACTGGGTCCAGGACTCAAACCATGGTTGACTACATGGGAGTTCAGTGACATAGCCATTATGCTAACTGCTGGTCCCACAAGCCCTAATTTTCAACATAATTTTTCAGAGAAATGTTACAAAAAAATGATGGCTATGATAAGTATGAAAATCATATTGACATTTATCAGATTAGAGTATAAATTATCTTTATTTTATTCCTGACCCCAAAAAATATTCTGATATGGTGTAAATTCATCTTCATTGTCTTAGGTTTCATTAATGATTAAAATTTGTTTATACTTTCAAATTACTAATAACATAGGCTTACAGATTGCAGTTGGGCTAATTTTGTCATTAAGTATGTTATATACAGAGCGTATCAAGTTTTAAATATATGATTCAAACTGGAAAACTAACTTTTTCTTTTTACATGTCTGCATAGCTTGGTAATTTAATGCTTGATTTAAAAAATAAGAAAAGACTCTGGCATTCTCTTATAGTTTTCAAGAACATAAGAGACTTTTGCTAAAATTGTGTTACAGATTGTGACTTGTTCATTTTGCAACTGACAAAAACTAAGGAAGAGGCAATGGAAGAAGTTTGTATTTGTACCATTTTTTTGTTGTACATCATTGCACTGTTGGCAGACTATCAGACATAAGGAATAAAATCAAGATTTCCTTAGGTTTTGAAAAATGCTCCTGAATATACCAGTAGAAGCTATGTTTAAAACAATGAATAGGCATTTTTAATATGAGAATGGTGGGACCAGCAGGTGGCATAATGGTTACATCATTGGACTCCCATGTAGCTGATCATGGTTCAAGTCCCTGACCCAGTGGCTTAAAACTCACACCAGGTGTGTATGCAAAATCCCAAGAGAAGAATGAAGAAGGGATTGCAGCATAGCCATTCCCCTGGGGGGTAATTTCTCACTTTCTGTCTGTCTGTCTGTCTCTATCTCTCTGGCAAGTGAATATGCCTTATAGCAAAAATCTCTCTTAAATCTCATGGTACACAGTAAGCATTCAATAAAAAAAAAATGTTGGCAAAAATAAATGGTTACGGCAAGAAAGATTATGAAAGGAAGGGAAAGAACTGTATTAATTCAAACTATGCATAAACACTATGATAAATATAAACTTTAAATATGGCATGTGAAACAAACTAAAAAGCCAGAATAAGTTCTTCTAAATCAAATAGTAGTAAAGCCTTATACTTTTACATGTATAAAGAATGGTATGGAGAAGAGGATTCCTCATGGTTCCTGCTAACTAGTCATTTCAGAGGACAGGAAAAATGAAGATTTTCTACCGATAATTCAGCCTCTAGCAAACAGAGCTAGCATGGTAGAAAGCCCCTCTGGCCTTCTATCTGTCTCTGTGCCTCTGTCTTTGTCTCTCTCTGCTTCTGTCCTCTCATTTTTTTGTAATTTTTCCTTTTTATGTTTTTTTTTTAAAGGTAAAGTTTTCCTTTTGCTCCTAGCTCCACCTTTTGTTTTGTTAATAATCCCCTCTGATCCTTCTGCCCAGGCAGGAGAGTTGAGGCCTTCAGAAGAGGATTTCTCATGGCTCCTGCTAACTAGCGCACAGAGCAGTTTTCTACTTTTGGGGTTTTCAAATCTTTTTTGTTGTTGTTGTTTTTGAGAAAAACAATAATTACAATTTTTTTCTTTTTTTGTTGTTTCTCTCTCTCTCTTTCATTTTCTTATTTCTTTTCTCTCCGCTCTTCAATATCCATTCAATGTGTTTCTAGATGGATCTAAGGGCACTGTAGCTAAACATAGAAATACTATTAGGGTTAACATATTCCTCAACATCTACTGAATCTGCTGCACCAGCGATCACAACAGAACAGCAAAGAGATTCCAGATCACCTCTTTAATGCTTGCTCCTGAACACTGAGATTGAACTTCAAAAATTCTAAAGAAAAACACCATCCATCAGATGACAAGAAATCACCGCAGGACCACAAGAAATATGGGAAAGCAAGAAAATACCTCTCCTCTAAGGGAAAAGAATAACTCCTCTTGATCCACAAGCAGTTCAATGCAAATCATGGAAATGTCTGATAAAGAATTTCGAACATTCATAATGGCAAAGCTAACTGAGAAGGAAGAGAAGAGAGACAATGAACTGCTAAAGAGAAAGGAGAAAGAAGTTGA